GTGACCACAGCTGAACTCCTCAAATTGGTTGGTTATGTTGTCACTCTAGTAGTGGCATTTAGTGATGACTGAAACAAGAATTGTGTTATCAATCAATCATACCCCAATCATAAAAAAAGTGCAACACATCAATTGAAGCAAATCCATCAATTTACCTGAGATGTTGTAAGTCCAATGGTTTCATTAATGAAAACCCCTATTCCAGCAGGTGTCCCTTGCCTTTTTGCAGTTGAAGCAAATGTTTGCTCTGCATACCTCTTTCTCCCAGGTGCAGGTGGTTGAAAATTGGAAGGTGCTCTACCCCTTCCCCTTGTACCACCATTGGCATTGCCTGTTCCACTTGTAATACTACTTCCCATGTCAAGACTAGCAGTGACATTACCACCCCATGCCTACAGCAGCATTATCATTACCACCTCCCCTTCCTACATAAGCACTAGTAGTACTACCAACTGTGACATCCCGACCCAGCAAAGCGATCCTAAGAGGGCGGGTAGAGCGAAGCTCCTAGCTAGCTTCTAGGATGGTAGGCTAGCTAGGGTAGTAGAATGCGGGACACATGAATAAATCGAATCATATATTGAAAAGGGGGAAACTAATCATTAGAGGCGCCTTTTGGTGGAATGGCTGGAGAGTTGGAAGAACTCCAGGGTTAAGTGTGCTGATGCTGGAGAGTTGCGAAGGAACTCCAGGTGTTAAGTGTGCTCGCTTAACGGAAATCTTAGGATGGGTGACCTCCTGGGAAGTTTTCCATTTCACCTGCGGACGGGACAAAACCGTGCGGGTCTTGCCAATCTTGTATGGGGGATTTGGCTTGATCTAAAGCGGACAATTCCTCTGGTGATTAGAGTCGGACGTGACACCCTTGTTCTACTCTTAAAAATTCTAACCCTCTGTCTTGCATGAATCAACTCCTTATCAACATTACTGCCCTCATCAGACCCTTTCCCTCTACCTCATAATCCTCACCTGAAGATGAGGAGCTTTCTTCAACTTCAATAGGGATATATTCAGCCTCACTCTCTCCTTCATTGCTACTGTTACTAAACCCCTATTGTTATCATGTGAACTAGCTCCTAACCCTTGCCTAGATGTCCCTGCCACATTTGCATCTTGCACATCTGACCTCTCCTTGCACATTAGCCCCTGTCCCACTCTCTTCTTGCACATTATTGCCCTTATTAACTCCCTCAATTAAACTAACAACTTCAACTATGTCAACACCATGCTCCATATAAACCTCTATGGTTCCACCATCAGTTATGACGTTTAGGGCAAACATGCATCCTCATCATTGTATAAACTAGAAAACACCTCTGTCTCACCAGCAATGAACCACCTTTAGTACAACTTCTTTATATTTTTGTACCCAAAATCCTCTGCTTTACGAACTAGGTCAATGCATAAGCACCCATTTGTTTCCACTTCCAACTAGTACTTCAATGCCACCAATATATCTTGATGCATAAGCACCCATTTGTTTCCACTTCCAACTAGTACTTCAATGCCACCAATATATCTTGTATGTGGTTCATAGACCGTTGTGCCTCCATGGACCCATCTAATGTTTACATTTGTGCCTCCATGGACCCATCTAATGTTTACATTCCATAATAAATAATGGGGAAAAGGGAAGATATCAACACATGGAGGACTTCAGCAAATAAACTTCAAGCTTAAGCAAATCAAAACAAAAAATGTTAGCTAAAGGGAATCAATTCCTGAGCTACTAACTTTTTTCTCCAAAAAATTCTAACCCATTTCTCTTATTTTCAAAAAAAACCTAACTTTACACTATTTCTCTCCGTTACTTAACAAACCCCTAAGTCTCATTGTCAATGTTCAAACCCAGAAACCAACGCCATCAATGAAATGAAAAACTAAGGTGGTCAAGAAGTACATACCTTTGCCAATGTGAGAAACCCTTTAGCCTTGACGTGATTCTTCCTTCTTCTTCCCCAGATTTCACTTCGTTCTCTCTCTCTCAAATGGTAACTGAGCAAAATGGAAAGTCTCTCCATGATATTTCAAAAAATAACAAGAAAAAAATGAAATTATCACATTGGAGGGAAACAATAACCGACCCTTGCATGGCATCTTACATGGCAAATTATTTTGCCATATGTTCTCTATTTTGCCACATAGGCGCAAGTGCAATTCACGCACTTCTCAATCCTTATTTCCAGCGTGGCAAAGGACAGTTTAAATACATAAAAAATAATTTTGAGGGCGCATTAGGTTACTCGCAAAGTACAGAGGGCCATAAGATTTTTTTTGCAAAGTACATGGGACAAAGTATGCATTAGGCCATATTAAAACTATTAGCTACTTTTAATTAGTGATTTATGAGCTAAATTTCACATAATCTAAAAACTAAAGTTATGATAATTGCTTGTTGAAATATTAATTTTAAACTCATATGCATAATGTTGGAATACCTATTTGTTAATCTAAGTGGTTAGTTAAATTCTTTTATTTATGTCTTAGCTTTTTGTGAACCTATTTCATATTTAGTGATTGTTGTGAGCTGCTGGTGGTTTATTTGCTAAAATTTGATCATTAGAAATCATAATTTCATTTATTTTTTTATTATAATCTTAAAGAATTGGTTATTAATTCTTATTTTATCCAAGTAATTAAAGGTATTTTCATGCTAGTTTAATAAGATTATCAAAATATATTTGTCTGAACTTGAGCTGACACATATATAGCGAATTAAAATTTTTAAAACACCTTTGTATATTATGGGCAAAATCTATCACTTTGAATCTACTGAGGATATTATAAATAATTTAATCGCTATATTAAAAATTATATTAAACCTAAAACTATGAATATATTACCGTTGAGTTAAAGTTGAATCCCTAAAGAGGTGTTTTGGAGTAGAAATTAGTTCAAATCAAACTACACTAGAGGGGTTATGATGGCTGAGATCCATTCTTCTTTAACCAGTGATCTCATGTTCGAACTCTAAATATAGAATTTCTTTAAACACTCGGAAAAGAGAGCATTTTGCCCCCTTTATAGGTATGACCAGCATGAATCTGAATTAATCGGACAAGTAGACTTCGAATATCGGATAGTAAAAAAAAAACAAACAACACTTTCTCAATGTGTCATATCAAGCAAGAAAGTGAAATTGCAAATTCTGTCTGATTTGTAAATTTATTACGTCTAAATTAAAATTTCCTTTACATGACTATAACATGAGAACCCAACAACTTACTTAGAAAATGACAAAACAACATGCTAATGATTCTAATCTAGTTAGGGATTGCATCAAATAAAGTAAATCAATTATTGTCACAAAGCTAAAAATAACATTAACCAAGTAATTAATTTATCCAATGTAAGAAACATTAAATTATTCATATCAATTTGGTAGTTGCCAATTCCACCAAACATCTACATTTTACTTTATTTGTTTTTGTTTTTAATGAAAATTTTTATAAACTATATTACAAAAAATATTTTTTGATGATTTAAAATATTGTTTATTGTTTTATCGAAGCGTGATTGATTTATATACCTTTATTTTTTGAATTTAATTATATCATTCATCAATTTTTTTTTATTATGTTACTTAATTATTCTGTTTAAATAACCATTAGTGAAAAGAATTATATTGTGCAATGAACACAAAATAATGTAGTTACTACAATAGAGAAAACTAAATAATACTAATTCACTATTTAAAACATTATCTCTAATAATTTTTAAAAATTTAATTATCAAATAATTATTTTATTCAAACATTTAATTGGATCAACAGAAGTGAACACTATTAGAAGCGCATTACCTAAGTATCGCTCTCATCCCGAGCATAGAGATCATGTCCAAAAAATAAAACTACGTTGTATTTGTGGTTAAGAGAGGTAATGCAAATTTCATACGTGAGATCCTTTAAAATTTTTACAAATATATAAAAAAGGAAAAGAAAAATCAAAATAATTAAGATATTCCTTTACCATCTTCCACAATTTTTTAGTCGTAGAAACACAACTATATGTAGAATAGGATTCATTTAAGGTTGAAATGAGAAGTAAATATAGGAATAATCAATTTAGGGTAGGAAAGTATTTATAAAAAGAAAATGATAAAGGAAAAGCAAATGAATAAGATAGAAAATTTTGTGAAAAAGGAATTAGTTGACAAAGTAAGAAAAGAAAACATAAAACAAACCTAACTTAATTGGTAAAGTGTGATATGGATTAAATAACTACTACTATATATTAGCTTAGCCTTGATCCTAAAGTTTCTCTCATTAATTTGTTTTAGAGTGGCGTATAAGCAAAATCAAGATCTGCCTTATATATATAGAAGCTTAATTACCCATTCCGGTTTGTTGTGGTTTTTTTATAATTGCACGAAATCTGATTAATCCCTACTCGTTTAGGTTTGAAGGGAGTTTGCATTGTGCAAGATCGAACTTATAATTTAAGTCTGAAAATCAACTTCGCAAATGCTCTTTGTCACTGAACTATCTCATTTGGGTTATATCTATTAGACATTAGATTGCATCTAAGTTAACTGGATAGAACTATAATTTTATTTATTTTTTACTACCAACCATGACTTTTTGAGTTAAAAAGCTTGCATTCCAATTGAATCAGCATGCCGGCAAAAGTGAATTACTTCTTCGTGGGAACTTTACATGCAAAGTTAGAATTTAAAACTTAAAATTATTTTTTATATGAATTTCATACGCATGCCAAAAAAAAAAAAAAGAAATTCTTGCAATCAATTGTTACACATATTTCACTTGAGAAATACTATATCGAAGCTAAATAGGAAAATAAGTGATTATTTATATTAAAAAAAAAAAAGAAAAAAAATTGAGAAAAGTAGGTCTAAGAGGGATTTTCAAAGCTCCTGCAGTCCTGCTCACCATAAATTTGTGAATTCTTTGTCATTTAATGATCATGAATTGTACTTTAGTCTTTACCTATTTGCAATAAATTTCAGAGTTTAATTTTTTTTTTTTTTTAGTTATTACAAAATGCTTTTCATCACCCAAACCATCTAATATTAATGATATAAAATTGCATACAGCAAGTACAAACCTCTTAGCTGGATTATAAAATAAATAAAATAAAAAATAAAGAAAAAATGGGGAGGAAAATTTTCAAAATTTACTGTTTGAACACAAATAAACATTCAAACTTTTTTATCAGTATTCTTCCTCAGCCATTACCATTCTACTAAGAGGGCTTGGTCCAAGCCTTTTTCTTCTCATCAAGCTTCTCTTTCTAATAACTTCCATTTGATTTCTCCTCCTTACTTGCATCATTGCTTCTTCCTCCACAACAAATCTCCTCATCAAAACATCATCCGTCAACGATTTTCCCCGAAAAACTCTTCTTCCTTCCGCACTAGGTCTCGCGCTTGGTATTCTTTCTTGCGAGGCAGGAAATGGTCTCGATCTAGGGTAACTATTGCTTCTTCTAGGCGGAACATCAGCTCGAAACACCTCATTGTAGGAAGAGATTGGCGCGCAAAGACAAACTCGAGTAAACGAAGTGGCGACCCTAAGAGAGGTACATTTTCTTAACTTCCCTCGATTAGGGTTTGTCGTTGGCGGAATTTCTGCCGATTTTGAAATCGTCCTCCATAAATTTGCATTTGTTGCGCGAATTTCTGTAGGATTAGAAACATTTTTCCATAACGTGACATTATTTGTTGGAGGAATTTCTGTGGATTTAGAAACCGTCTTCCATTGAGTAGCCATCTCTATTGCTCTTTGATACCAAGGCTTCCTAGAGCGCAAGAGATGCACATTATGCATATTCTCAATATTCATTATATATATATAAATAAACATAAATGCTCAATAATTGGAAGAAAATGGAATTCTGTCTTTATACATTATTACTAATTAATATGATTTGAATTAATTTTTAAAATTACAATATTGTTTCTATCTCATCCAAATTGTGAGGTTCATAGTTCCAATAACCCCAGTTCCAAGGGGAACCTATAACTTCAACTTAATTTGTTATTATTAGTATAATTAGATTAATAAAGAAGGGAAAACTCAGTGGGACCAGTAACTTATATAGGTAATGAACTTGTGGATTGGGTCAAACATTTGCTAACTATGTGAAACAAGTGGTTAATGAAATTAAATTAAACCAAGTGTCAAATTGCTGTAAATATAACAATTACTAAAATTGTGAAATAGGTTAAAAGTGATGTGATCCATGAAGAATTACTGGAACCTCAGGTCTAAGCCCATTGAAAAATTTTCAATTTTAAATAATTTAAGGATAAGGATAGAGTTGAGCTGATGGGTTTAAAAGCAAGGCAAAACAAAACCTAACGCCCTTTCAAGGTAATGGTCCAAGTGTCCATCCATTTCCTTTTATGTTTATGTCACAAACTTTTTAATTTAATTTTAAGTTAAAAATTTCTGAAAGAAGGGATACCCTTTTCAATAATATATCAGTTTATGCCTTCCAGTGAAAGTGATGGGTGAATAAATTCTTCTACTACCTCTCTAAATTGATGTTTTTAGTTTTTGTAATAATTAAAAAATATATATATGTATATAAGCCTATGTAATTTCAATAAATATAGCAAATTTTGAAAACAAAAATGGAAAAGAAAAAAAAAATAAAGAGTACCTTTTGTCAATTGTATAAGAGGCATGTTGTCTTGAAATTGTCATGTGGAGAGAGATCAACGGTGGCATAGATTAATCATATGAACCTGTGTATTATATAAGCAGTAATTTCCTTTAGCTTAATTAAATGAAATTGAAAATTCAACAAACTGAAACTAATTAACGTTCAAACTTAATTATATACCCACATTTTCTTTCTCAAGCAAATTCAATAAACAAATAATCACTAATGCTTGCAAGAATCAAGAATCAAGAATTAGGGAGAGAGAAAGAGAGAGATATGAATACCTTGTGTTAGAGTTTTTTGGATCTTGCATGAACAAAGCCAGTTGACGTTTGAGTGTAGAAGAGAGTGAAGAAGGAAGTTTTTTCATTTGGGTGGAGAGAGCTAGAGAGAGAAGAAGAAGTAGTCTTTCTTTGGCCTTCAATTTTGTGACTGAAAGATGGGTTGGCAATGTGCTTCTTTTCTTTAATTTTTCCCTATTCTTTATTAGACCTTCTCTTTTTGCTTTGGCAGGGATGATTCCTATGGATTTAGTGTGTATGTGAGAGAGAGAAGGTTTTTTAAAATTCAAAGGTAAAGTAAAAATTGTTTTGTTGCTTTTGATGGAATTTACTAGAGTGCCCTCTTTCTTGATCACTTTAATTGATTACTTTTCTAGGGCATAGAAAGTATATGGACACTTATAATCATGTTCTGGTTTTGCTCCTATTGTGTATGATTGTGAGCAAGTGAGAGACATGAGTTAAGGGTTAAGGGAGGGAGAGGACCATTAATTTGTCCTAGACATGCCTCACCTGCCTTTGTGTTGAAACAATCATATGGGTTTAAAGTGAATTCCTCTTTTACTTAGTTTTCACCTCCCAAAAATGCACAAATATTAAGATGTTGATTCTTATGGATCCCACAATACTATTGATTAGTGACCTTCTTTTCTTTTTCTTAATTAGTTTTCATAATTAGTTTAGTTAATCCAGTATTAGTGTAATTAATGAGAGGTAAATTACCAATAATAATGTATTGATTGAAGTGATAAACGACTCTAACCCTTATAAGGATGAAAATTTAAATTCGATCTTAAAAATAAGTATTTTGTTGAGAGGATAAAAAATTTTTACTCTCTACGTTACGGATCAAAAAGATTATACTTCGTTTAAAAAAAAAAAAATTAAGGAGAGGGCATGCTTAAGATCCAGACTGTTTGTAAATAATTTGCTAATGGATGGCATCATCATTCATTTGTGGCTGATGTGTTATTTAAAGAACTCAAAAGGCTGCTACAAAAAGAATAAAAAAGAGACATTATGATTGGAGGTGTTGGATTAGACATTTCCATTAGTACAATTATATTAAACTTCTTGTTTTTCCAATTTGTCAAAAAAGTCTTATGAGATAATATATGTTATGCAATCAGATTGCATGCCATTTCATTATGAAATTATATAGGGATTAATGAAATGTCCTTCCAATTAGATCAAGGGCTAACCCTTTTTTGATTGGTTTGTTAATTTTCAATAAACTTGTACAAAAGATTTTGGAGTTCAAACCCTGTTCACATTGGAAGAATATGGCCATGGGAGAGAGGAAATTTCCGGTAAAGCAGTGAAATGCGCAGAGATTCGAAATTTGAGAAGGGGAAAGAAACTCTCCTCCCGCAATGGATAGAAGATAATTTATTCAAATCACATATAAAATATGTTAATTTTTGTATCTCACACATACGTGTGATCTTTAAAAAATATGAAATCTTTAAAACCATAAACAGTTTAATGTTTCAAGTTAATCTATAATTAGAATTTAAATCCCTCTTTTAGTAAATGCATTCACAAACAACTATAATTATATTAAAAAAAAAGAATATAATGAAATGGGGATTGAGATGAATTTGTTTGACAAAAACTTTTTCAGGTCAAAAGCTTTAGGGTTCCCAAGTCATCTTTTGTACATTGTAGACCATAAACATTATTTTGCCAGACTTGGATTGGAAATAAGAAAGAGATTTACATATATATGACTTTATAACTTTGCTGAAATTAAGGTCTTAGTATGAAAATATGTGCAGTTATTACTTTATTTCACAAATTTGACCTACTATTTAACTGGGAAGATTTTAGATTTGTTTGATTAATCTGTTAATTTTCTTTATTTTCTTTTGCCTTTATGGTATTATAATTTTACTTTTACAGTAGAAAAGTTTTTTTTTTATTATTATTTTAATGAATTAACCAAAAAGCTTTAAGGAAATCAAGATTTTAAGATCTATTTAGAAAAACTTTAGACAAATAATTTAATGATTATTTACCAATCCTACAATTGTAGTATATCAGAAATCAAATTTTACTGAGAGGTAATTCCTATACACTCCCTAGATTTACTCAAATGCATTAGTAAAGATTTCAATTTTTAAAATTTCACTATTTAATTCCTGCATTATAATTGCATTTCACTGTAAAGTCTAACAGTTATTTTTTCAGTTCAGTGAATATAAAATGTTGAAAGTACTCATAAAAATAATTATGGTATAGACCCTATAATTTGGTGAAATATGCTAAGAAAACCTCAATTTTCATAATTTTGCATTAATAGTCCCTATTTATAATGTTAGTTTTTATATTTCACAACCACTTAACAATCAAAATTAACCGTCCCTATAGTGTAACAGAATTATAATTCAAAAACTAAATAGTGTAATTCTAAAAACTATATCCTTATCAGTGTACGTGGCAACGGTATAAGGACTATATAGTATTTACTTCTTTAATAAATTTTGTTAAAATTTTATTATAAAAAATTGGTTTCAAAAATAAAAAATGAGCTAAATTAAATATGAAATACTCACCAGAAAGCAACATGTTGAGAAATAATAATAATAATAATATGCTTTTAAAATCTATATTAAAAATTATATATGTATATTTAAAAAAAAAAAAAATTGTTTCTCTCTTTCAACTTAAGTCATCACGTGAAAAGAAGGATGCAGTTGCAGTGTGGGATCCACACGTGCAACTCCTGACACCTATCAAATGTTCAGAACCACCTGAGCCTTCTCAATGCCTGCACCAGCTTAGCTTAGTCATTTTCAGGAAATAAAAAAAATAAAAATTCACCAATTTATTTTCATAGCTAAATTAATTAATTAATAGGCTTCAAATTTCATTAGAAAATTTATCAAGCTTGTGTTCCAATTCAACAATAATCAGGCAATTCAGCTAGTAATCTCTTGGTTCCAACATTTTTTCCAATTTCACTTGGCAGTATCTGTTGAGAAGCTCAGAAAATGGAAGACTGGTGGTTCTGGTCTGAAGTGGAACTGTGACTGAACTGTGGCCCCACGGACGTTCTAGTCCACTTCTAAATTGTGGGGCCTGCAGGCTGCTTTCAAGTTGGTCCTTGGCCAGGTAGATATGGCAGAAAGAAAAGAAACAATGGGGAAAAAGTACTCTGGTAACATTGACAATAGAAGCCTTAAACGAAGCCTCTGCCAGGAGATACAAGACGGTATTTGTGCTCACAAACAGTCATCAATGTCCAACAGCCTTCATAAGAACAGAAACACATTCTTGACTTGGAAAATTGACTTCACCTGTCCGTCTGTTAGAGCTACACTTCTAATTTCTAACTAAACCTAAAGATAAAACCTGCAGAACTAATGCACAAAGGACAGGTAATCAGACTGGTTAGGCTTCAACACTGGTCTTTTATGTGGAAATGGCGTTCTCGACCATAACTGCTGCTAACAGCTGGTGCTAACATTTTGAACGATGAATATGGGCGACCTTACTCTGTTGATAAGTTCAGCACCACTTCCAGCAGCTTTATTAGAAAAGCCTAGCATTTGAAAATTACTGAGCCAGTTTGACAAAAAAATTTAGACAAATCACTGGCTATCAGGCTCGCCAGAACATTTCTTGTTCCAACCACCAGAACTGGCTTTCCTCTCCCCTCGCTTCCTTTTATTTCTTGGAAATTGGATGTCTGAGGCTAAACATGATTTTAGAGTTGATTGCTCGTGTGGCACAGTGGTTGTTACCGTTGGATCAACTTCTGAGGTAGGAATGGGACAAGGATTGGTACTTTCTCCTTCTTCTCCTTTCTCTGGTTCGTGATGCTTCTCTAGGAGTTGATTGCTTGTCCCTATGAAAGTGTGCGTCTCCCCCTCAACTGTTTCATTGTGTATCAGCACATTATCCAGAATCTGCAAATGCAAGAAATACATACAAAGTGACTAAAGGATTTTGCAATATTGAGAGCATGGAAAGGATTACTAGGAACTCTAAGAATATACACGTGTGCACAGACACACACACACATATTGCCGCAGACTGAAAATCATCGAATAAGTTGATGAAATTTTAAAAAATCATGATGTTTTATGCAATTACGTATATAGGTCATAAGCTAAATAAATAAATAAACAGCAATCAGGACACATAAAGCTAAATGAAGAAGGAAATATTTTCCTTCCACTTGAGTAAATGAAAGCTGTCCTCACTCTAAAAGAAAAAATTTTTTATCAGTGAAACTATGAATGAAGCATAAGTTCTAGAAAAACATATGAATGTGCATGCTGGTTTCATGGTATATGGTTGTTAAAACCAAGAAGAAAGGCTATTGAATGAACAATTTTTCCCATGATCAATTTACAAAAAGTAAATCACATGCAAACACTTTTGCTGCAGCCATATATATAGAAAACATATGAAATGTGCCCATTGCTGGTTTCAATGGTTAAGAGTGGTTGTTAAAACGCAAGAAGAAAGGCTTATTGAAATGAACAATTTTTGCCCCCATGAATCAATTTACAAAAAGTAAATCACATGAACCAAACACTTTGCTTGGCAGCCATATTATATATATATATTATATATATATATTAGACGTTCTTACATCTTCACATGAGTCTCCAATTTGTGGCTGATGGAAGGTAACATCAGCAGCAGACAGACATTCCGACTGTGCTTTCAATATTATCAGGTACAGTGAATAACCTCCTCCGTTAATTGATATGAGCCCACTATCATAGGCAACGGATCATAGTCTTCCAATATCTATATCCCTTAGATATTGCTGAGCTGCATTTATGCATAGCTCCCTATCGATAATGTTTTCCTCCATTGCCAGCAGAGTTTAATGTAAGGACTAGGAGCAGAACTAGTCTGTGCATCACACGGCCCACAAAGAAGGCTTAACAGTCTCAGAGGAAGAAAATTTAGCAGTATTTTTTTGATATAACCATTGTCAAGTTTGATTTTTTTTCAGGCCTTCGTGAAATCCGATATATATATATATATATATATAATTAGACGTTCTTACATCTTCACATGAGTCTCCAATTTGTGGCTGATGGAAGGTAACATCAGCAGCAGACAACATTCCGACTGTGCTTTCAATTATATCAGGTACGTGAATAACCTCTCCGTAACTTGATATGGCACTATCAGGCAACATCAAGTCTCCAATATCATATCCTGAGATATGCTGAGCTGCATTATGCATAGCTCCTATCGATAATGTTTCTCCATTGCCAGCAGAGAATGTAGGACTAGGAGCAGAACTAGTCTGTGCATCACACGGCACAAGAAGGCTTAAAGTCTCAGAGGAAGAAAATTTAGCAGTATTTTTTGATATAACCATGTCAAGTTGATTTTTCAGCTTGTGAATCCGAGATTGTGCTATTTCAATTTTCCAAAGGACTCGCTCTAAGGAATGATCACCATCTTCGAGCTCAAAAGACAACTGGTCATTATCAATGCCAAACTTGTCATTGACATCAGCACGTTGTTCCGTAATTGCTGATCCAAGACAATACCAAATGAACAGCAGTCATAGACTAATCACTGAAAACTTAGTTAAGATAAAACATGCACATGCTGAACTGGTAAGGATTGACAATGCTGCACATCCAAGGAATTTTTATATTTACAAGATGAAAATACTAAGTTCAAGAGTATTGCAATTCTAAGCAATAAGCAGTTTTCACTTCTACTCTGGTAGAGTAATTTGGCAATGCCATGAAGCAGAAACCAAATAAAAATATTACAGAAAAGCATTACCTGCATTGTCAAGACCATCAATCATAGAACTTGCATCTGGATTAGATCTCTTGCTTTCTGCAATAAGTCATGAAGTGAAACTGAAAACGCTTAGGAGAAAGAACCTAAACCACAATATGCAATGTACAGCAGAAGCATATACCCAAATAAGAGAAAAGGTTATGATGTAACATATATGATGATGTCTCAGTGGTCTCCTCAATTCGCTTTCGTTTCCTCCTCTTTATAGCCCTTCTTTTATAACATTGATTTGAAAATGGCAATGCCTTCGAACAAAAACCTTCAAATGTAGATTGATAGATTCGCGAATGTTTTCTTTGTTCACATGCCACAAGTTCTCTGGCATATTTTAAAGCTCGAGACTCAATTTCCTTAATTTTCAATTCTGCCCATTTGCAACGCCACATCAGAGGACGTATGAAGCTCCTCCAGTGATTGGTTAACTTTTTCTTCCTAGTTGGAGGCAATACAAGTTGAATGAATTGTTACTTTGGGTAAACAGGGCTACAATTTGAATTCCAAAGCTATGAAAGGAACAACACTCCAAATTTCAGATACGTAACAATGTGGGAAAACCATGCTAATAATGCCAGGGTATATAGATTATTGCATCTAGATGAGAGAAACTCTTCACTTCAGAATAACGACACTTGTGTGTGGCAGTACTGATCAGTCAAGGGTATATCTTCATTAATTGATTAATATAGTGCTGGATTAAATAAATTGTTGATATACGGAATGTAAGACCATAATATTCATATGAAGGCCAATAATAAATCTTGTAGCATAGGCCTATACAACATGAATGGCTTTATCTTCTACAAGTTTCTTTATGCATTAATGTTGATTTTTAAGAAAAACTAAGAGATATGAATAAGAGCACTTACAGTTATACTTCCTTTTCCATTAAACATATTTTCCATTGACATCCTCATCCCATAGTTACTGTCCCACCATCAAGAAATGAAGAATGCATATGCATAATTACACATTGTACGCTAATATCTAACTTGGAACACCAGTTCCCGAATTAGAAATTAGAAATGGGTTTTCCCTACAATAGCAAGCCAAAAAGTTCTCTAAGCAACACCAAGGCATGCATAAAAGGCAGCTAAGATCTAAAATCTGAGGCCATGGCTTAATAATTAAAAATGATCATATTAATTAAGATGTGTCTAAATTTTAGAATGACGATAAAGGTAACATTTTAAGTAAATGCAACGGAAGAAATTAAAATAAGATAGAGAAATTTTTAATCAGGAAAGTAAGAAATGAAATTACAACAAAGAGGATAAGGATCCTTCTATCCTAACCACCATAAAATTCAAGCAACACTGAACAAAAAACTATAAGAATAACTTATGCTTCCAACAGAAATTAAGAACAAGCACCATTCCTATTGATAAAAGAAATGAAGCCCTCAACCAGGCACCATTATACAACTAATTGCCTATAGTGATGCAACTAGAGCCACAAGCAACTCTCAGGCTAGATCTGAGTGTTGCTATCAGACAACGTTATGAAAAGAATTGAATTGTTGTCCATTACCTTTACCAAGACAAGAATTCCACAAACGTTTTAAGTCATTTTGATCCTAATTGACTACTCATATCATCTTCTACAAGAAAATTGTTACTTTCATGGCAATTAAATAACTCCAGAATGTCAACCAAAAGTATTGGAAGATGTTTCAAGTTACCAACCATTTCTCCGCTTTTTAATTTAAACGTGCTGGCCTTACCTGATAATTTAGTGCAGCTTAAGAAAATGTTAGCTCTGCAGCTCATAAATTAATTTTGGCATTCATTCAACATATATGCTTATAAAATGGTTATAAAAGAACAGGGAAATAACCAAACCCTACTCTGTCACAGGCATTTGCATATAAAATGTGAAACAAAAGCACACCTTGTTTGAAAGATGCTACTGAATGCATCATATGGTGATACCAAATCACTGTCATCAAAAAATTGTGATTCTACTTCAGTTTCACTTAGTCCAGAGCATTTCTCATTATCAGAAAAAGTGTCGGCGAATGAGCTTGAATATTCCGTGGCATCTGGATCTTCAGCTTCTGCTGATCTGGTCTCATTAACATTTTTACATGTAACTATGTCAACTGCTATATCCTCAGGGTCCATTGGCTTAGTTTGTTCATCTAATGTAGTGACTTTCTCATTAACTGTTTCCCCACAGCTATCTATGCACCTTGAATCCGTCCCTTCTAATTTTGCCAAGATATTTTCGTTATCTATATCAACTTCAACTTTTATAGAAGGATGTTGTTTATAGTCTGGATCAATATCCATTAATGGCTGTGCAGGAGCCATGGCAGAGACTGAACCAAAACCGATTGATCAATATCCATCAAATGCTTCAACTTGCAAAGCCAAAAAATTAAGATCCTTTATAATTAACCTGAGAAGAGATTGAACAAGCCTATGTAAGTGAATCAATGTATCAGCTAGAATTTACTTCTCAAGAAGCAAAACATAATTGTATAATTAGAGAATTATATTAAAGCTTTAAAAAAGAAACTCATAATAGAGAAGTAAAAGGGGGTGCTATTTTAAAATTTGAGGAGAAACCAATAGCAAACAGAACTTTATTTGAATAAACAAGTCATTCACTTCAAATTTGGAACTACTGAATTTCACCTAGACCTCCCTCATGTTGTATTTGATAATATAAATAGGTTCTGAGGTAGTTGTTTTTTTAGAACTTTGAGACATTCATTCAAATTACTGTTTACCAGGATAGCTTGACTACAGTGATCACATTACAAAGCTAATGTTTTAAAAGTACTATGCGGAACTCCCGAAGAGTGGGCTATGTCATTTACGTGCACACCTTGTTAATTTAAAAGTTTCTAACAATAATAGAGTTAATGTTAGAAAAATTCTGACAACACCTAAAACATAAGTATGGTTATCCAAAGGTTGTATGACACAGAAGTACAAGTAGCAAGGATGCTTCTTAAGAAGAATTGTTTGTCCATATTAAACACAGAACTAAAGAGACAAGTACATATGTGCCATTGACATGGAAGAAGTGCCAAATTTAACAAATTTGTTTTGGAATATGAGGTTGAAACAGGTAAAGAATGAAATGAACACCATAATAACAGCTCCTTTTGATCTATACAAAGAATGTTCAAAAAATAAATAAATACAATGTATGTTGAGTTTGCATGTAAGAACAGAGGCAGAGGCAGATGCACCTTATTAGGCAAAGTGGGTCCTTGTTATAATTTTTTTAAGATAGTATGTTTTAAAGGGGTTGAAACCCACTCTGAAAATTTAATGGGTTGTCATTAGTTAAAGTTAGTGGTAAGTGGTTAAAAGATTGTTTAGTAACATACAATGAGGAATATGCATTTGATAGTGTATTGGTAATGACGTGATTATACATTATTTTCAAGGCATGAAAAAGGTGTTGAAAGTTGTTTAAAATAAATGATTTAAGAAGCATAGGATAAATAGCAAACTATGCTTGAACTATATATGACTTTTCAAGCTCCAAGTCTCACAATCTCTAAATTTCAAGAAACTCTGCTTCTCAGAAAATCCACAAACATGCAACTGCAACAAATTTATCAAAAATAATCACAAATTTGATAACACAACAGAATTCCAAGCATTACCCAGAATTACTAAACAGCATAGGGAAACAACTCGGAAACCATAAAAGTGAAAATTTTAAATTACACACACAAGGAAAATAAAAAAAAAAAAACTTGAAAATATCCCTCCAATTCTTAAAATGAAAAGAAAGCTAAGCTGAAGTTATTACGTTTGAGACATACAAACACAATTCTTAAAGAAGATACTAGAAGAAGTGATCAAGAAAGTTCAGAAAAATTCGCATGCAGTTTTAACAATCACATAGGCATTAAAGCTAAAAAAAGAATAAATGAAAAGGAAAGAAAGTCCTGAACAAGAGAAGGAATAAGCAAAGAGATAAGCTATAAAAGAAAAGCTAAGCTCAAAATCGAAGAAAAAGCTGTCTATATACATACACTTATGTATAAAAATAGAGAAGGAGAGTAGAGAGAGGCACCAGTGAGTTAGATGGTAGTGTGGACGTTGGGTGTGCGGCGAAGAGGAAGAAACAAAGGAAGTTAACGTTGTTATTATAAGACCTAAAATCAGTTAGTAACTTAGTAGTGCAGTCCTCTAGTACCCTTCCCGCTTTTGCTGATACGTGCCATGCTCCTATTGTTTTTTTTTTTACCACTTGGCACTCTCTTATTGGCTCAACAGTCTACTACTTTTTTCTAACTATTTCGATTTGGATTAAATTTCTCTATTTCTAAAGTCAGTATATTCCATCAATAATATTCGTCCGTACAATAATATGCTGAAATCATGCCAAAATTATTAGATTGTTCGGTCTCAATCCTTCAGGTATGAGCTGCCAGAGATTTCATCACTTCAAAATTTCCTTCTTTTTTTGTTTTCTAATCGAAATTTCAAAATTTAGGTCTTCGAAGTACTGAAAGAACCGATTCCATAATTTGATAATTAATTCCACTATACTATTCGAATAAATATGTCCATATATTCTATTAAGCATTAAAATAAAAATAAATAAATAAATTACATAATGGGAAGATGCCCATCTGAATCACTCATATTTGAGGACATAACGAAGATGCTTGTCTTTCAAATCAAACGAAATCCACTGTTTTGGAGGAAAAAAACAACAATATTAGATGATCACTATGATCAGTTTTGGCAACAAAATTTGGTCTATGTTTTCTGTGTTGCAGTACGTACAAACATAACCTGGCAACTATTTAAATATGCCATCAAATCCGCCAGTAAAGATAAATGATCCATCATGCCTGAGAATGACCTGGCGAAAATTATGATGACATGGCGAGGTCAACATTTCGAATTCCCTTCTATGGTTTTTCTTCTCAAATCCTCATATCAGATAATAAAGCAACTCAAGATGGCAATGTTTTTCGCCTTTCCTCCTTTAGCATCCGCAACGAAATTTTTACAAGGAATCTCCATCAATTCAAGAAGCAACTACTTATGCTTACTTACTTCCTTGGCTTTCCTCTCTTCTTATTTTTACCAAAATTTTTACCTCCTCCAGCTTTGTTCTTCATATGAGAGATTTTGTTGGCCTTCTTTTGCCTTTCCTTTCGAACCTGTTCAAGGTCTTTAATTTCTGAACGCACATTAGCATTAGGCACCGAATGATGCTTCCTGCCTGCATTAAACTTTCTATTGTGTCCTCGAAATTGGCGATCTCCTGCAAATAAAAATGTATTTAGGGGTTAAACTGTGGATTTGCCACAGGCAGAATCAACAACCAGTATAGGCAACTAGCTGTTAAGATATATTCCTAATGGAAACAGGAGAAAAACGTTTAGCAATCTTCTAAGGTGATAACACAAAAGAACTTCCACCGCAGTTAACATTGAATAATGAGTGCCGTAAAATATCAAACAAGAAAATTTAAAAACTTCTAGGAAAATCTTAGGGTAGAACACCAAACAGAATAATCTAGATTAAGAGAAATACCTGAGAAGCTTGAGGTTTGCTCATCATTCTCTCCATTGCCAATTCCTTTAAGAGAGACTTTTCTGTGTGACCGCTCTTTCCATTTCTTGTACATCCCTGTATTCTTAGACTTTACTTTTGCACCATTTTCTGTCTTTATCTACAACCGGCACAAAAAATAGAGCAAAGTGCTAAACATCATATTATACAGATAGAATTATACAATTACAATGATGATGCATCAAGGTCGCACAATATGAAGGCAGTAGAGAATAAAGCTTAGCATGCCTAAGTCTGTTTGATACAATCTAAACACATTCAAAGATATTGATTTTCTCTGAAGAAAAAAACTCACAATTTTTTGTCCGCTGCTGGGGACATGATATGCATAACAACATGCAAAACTTATCTTTTCCAGGAAAATGGCATGTTTGACCACAGGTTCACAACAATGGTAGATAAAATACAATGCAGTTCAATTAAACCAAGCTGACATGACGATACAGTTGACAAGAATTCAAAGCCATTAGCTCCTTAACTACTACATAGGTTTAAGACAGACCATCCATAAAATAACAAGAGTATCATTGCAATGAACTTGGCAGGTATAAAAGTTTTTAGATTCAGCTTCTAGTAAGAGGGTATGATGAAGTAGGAAGTAAGGATGTATATTTGCCTGACTGCAGATCTAAAAGGTAAAACAAACTTCAAAAAGAAAAAGGAATAAGTTCCACTTTTAGAACTACATATTTGATACACAAACTTCAAAATATATATATTTTTTCAAGATGCCATACACAGCAATGTGATTACATACTTCTGTACAAAGGCCAAAATAGGAAGAGGTCAAAAGAGTACCTTTCCACTAGCTGTAACACGTTCACCATTGTTCAATTTGATGTACTTTTTACTCCTCTGCCACCAAACAGAATCATGAATTGAAATGAAAATTGTACAAAACAATTATGTAATATACTAATATTATCATAAAAAAGTTTTCAGCTTTCAAGTACCTTGTCCCAATGATATACTGTCTTCTGTTTCTGCATGCCAGAACTATCATCTGCAACCAGATCTAAGACAGCTGATTCCAACCTAATAGATAAGTTCCATCCATTAGTGAGAATAAAAAAGGTATAAGAAGTTCACCAAACAAAGACCTTGCGCTATCAATTCTTGCATAGAACAGTATCAACAATTCGTTAAAGTTTACCTATTTGATCCAAAGCCTTCATTAGCTCTCACTGAAAGGCCTGCCTCTGTGTGCTGCGAGTAGTACCCAAATGCAAATCAAGTTAGTCGGCCAAGATTTCCATTATATACAGTATCATTTTTTCCTTTTAAGTAAAATATATTCCTTAACTAAGGAACCAATCGGGGTAACGCTGTGTAAATTGGAACTTGGAAGCGCACAAGAGAGGAATGTTCGGTAAAATTTAAAAATAAAAGTTGTCATTAAAAGAAAAGGATAAATGTGGAACCACCTGTCTTCTATCTTATACTCAGAATGTCAATAGAGAATTACAGCACAGAATTGAACAAAAAACACTGAATGCAAATATAAATTTGACAAATTATAATTAAGACGAAGACTACTAAATTAGCAGAGTTGAAAGATTAAGTAACAGTAAAGGGCATGACAAGTACCAAAACATACATGGTTTGTGGGTACTGAACTTATATAGTATTCCTCATCTTTGAAATTCTTTGCCTTCCTTTTAGAACCGCGAGCTTCTAACATAAAAAGTAAACCATCAACTTTTAGTATCAGGAAAAAAAAAAATGCCATGTTTACTGGAAGATATTTTATGTTGTGACAAAATAAAACCAAAGAAATGAGAAAGAAAACAGTATATATAGGGCAAAAACAAACCCTTTTTCTGCTTTCCATTTGAAGGAGTAATTTCAGATTGAGCTTCCTGCAAGTACCACAATGTTCAATTATTTCCAAATTATAGACAAATAAGCAAGAAAATATAGGTCAACTGTTCCCAAAATCAAGAATAGGTCAACCATCAAACCTATTAATGATGGGGCTAGTAACTACACAAAGGTTATAGGCTTTGAAATTTTGATTCCATGAGAAGGGTTGGATTGTAAAGATTTGAACCCCAGAAAACTTGGTCAAGAGAAAAATTAATTGGGAATGACAGATCAAGTTGTCAATTTATTATGGTCATGTAACTTCAACAAAAACAACAATCCAAAATGAAAGATGCTTTTTCCTTATCAATCTATTATGCTCAGAACTTCAGAAAAAAGGAAATAAAAAAAAAAAAAAACAAACAAAAAATATTAAGTTTATGCAAAATCTAAAAAATGAATGGCATCCCTACACAATTTTCTTGAGGTTGTTTTCTTCAGGTGTATGACAACAGAAAGATACAGCAACAAAATGTCATATGACATAGAATTCATTATTTCTTGGAATTGAAATCCTCCATCAAGAAATATAGCACGAATTTAGATTAGGTACTATTTACTAAGAAATATGACGGCAATTGAAGCAGCAAGCAACAAGATTTACCTTTTCCACCTTCTTGCTAGAGCGCTGCTGATGTACCAAATTAATGATCTCTTCATGAATAGCTCTTTTTCTCTTCATCACATCAACCCATTGACTAGAAGGACCCTGCAATCAAGTCATACCTCAACTTAAAACTCAACAAACAGGAGCATGATTTTTTAAATACTGACAAATATACACAATATGTTCATAATTATTTGTATCATTGTTAACGGTTACAAGTTAAAGTAAGCAACAGACTAACAAAAGAATACAAAGGTTCTCCACTATGGCTTAGATGCTTCACAAGGCCAAATAAAGTTGCAGCTTCTATGATGAAAACAAAATGGAAAAAACAATAATGACTGATGACTTAAAAAATAATGAGGATTTAAACAACAGGGACAAAAGCTTAGATAACAATGATGAGGAAATAATGATTCCAACTTTTCCTAATTAGCATTAGAAACAAAATGGTTTCAAATTCAGATCAAGAGCTATTCACAAATAAGCAAATGTTATGAGAGTTAAAAAATAAAGTATACCTGTACATTCTTCGATTTGGCAGCTTCACCTTCAGCTTCCAGAATAGTCTGCTTAGGTCTAAGAAATCAAGGGATAGTGCGGTCAAAGTTAGAGCATTCTTCCTTCATTATCTCAAAAAAAAAAAAATGAAAAGGAAACCTTCTTAGGCTCACCTGAATGCTTTTAAGCGCTCAGAAAATGCTAATGCCATTAGTTCACCACCTCCCAGAACATTTTTGAATATTGGATGTATACCTTCACGTGGTAAGTCCTTCACTCTTTTAATGGACTCCTTTGCAGGTACAGGTTTTGTCTTCGTGTACAAGCGGAAGGCATTTGTACAGGTTTTCTGCAAAGAAGTCAATTCTGCTGATGAATCAATGATTTCTCGAACTCTATCTGAAACAAGATCAAGAACCGTCTGAGGGAATCGTCCATAAACAGTTTCCCCATTTGCAATAGCTTGATCAATTTTCTTCATCACTCCATCCATGTCCTGCAAAACCTCTTCCTCAGCAGGTGCAGCCTTTATTGGTTTTGAAAGAAATAGATGAAGATCTAAAAGGTAAGGCATATCTTCAGATGTCACAAAAGAAAATGCTGTACCAGTCCGACCTGCCCTTGCAGCTCGCCCTACACGGTGGACAAAAATTTTTGGTTTTGGGGGGAAGTCCCAATTGATAACATTATCAAGCAATGGAATGTCAATACCCCTAGCAGCTACATCTGTGACAATTAACAACATAGTTTTCCGTGCCCTAAACCTTGATACATGAATCTTGCGAGCATCTTGATCCATATCTCCATAGCAAACAGAAGGCTCAATACCCTCTTCTCGAAACAAAGTATTAAGGAACTCCACATGATGCTTTGTGGAAACAAATATCAAACTCTGCTGGTCAGAACTGATATGCTCCCTTATTAAATACAGTAAGGCTGCATATTTTTCCTCCTGTCGTAGGGTGAAAAACATCAGCTTCAAATCAGGGCTAATTTTTGTATCCACATCAAGTCGAACAAGCTGAGGATCGCGTAGACCAGCCTTGGCAAACTCCGCAAGGGCACTTGGCAAAGTTGCACTGAAAAGCAATGTCTGGCGGTTCTCACTCAACTGGGTTAGGATTTGATGCAATTGCTCAGCAAAACCCATACCAAAAAGACTGTCAGCTTCATCAAAAACTACATATTCCACCGTCCGCAATGACATGTCGTCAACCTCAGACAAATGATGCATAAGCCTACCAGGAGTTGCAATTATAATATCCGGACTCTGTGCTAATTCTTCGAATTGACTTTCCATGCTATCACCACCAACCAATAAACTAGTGCGAAGATCTGCAGTAAAGAAACAGAATAAAAAAAAAATCCATGTTTGTGGAACACTGAAGAAAGCGCTCCAAGGAAACATATGTATATGATACCACACCAAATGACCAAGCTGGTAGTGATAAATTTACTATTCTCAATTTGGTGTCTGGACAAGTCCATCCCCGAAGCCATCTATAGTTAGATACAATTAAAGCAATGACGATAAAATTTTCAAAGAACCAAAAAAAAAAAAAAAAAAAAAAAAAAAAAAAAAAAAAAAACCATGCTATCACACACTAACCAATAAAACTAGTGCGAAGATCTGCAGTAGAAACAGAATAAAAAAAAATCCTGTTTGTGGAACACTTGAAAGAAAGCGGCTTTCCAAGGAAACATATGTATATCGTGATAACCGAACCAAATGACCAAGCTGGTAGTGATAAATTTTCTATTCTCAATTTTGGGTTGGTCCTGGAAGCAAGTCTCCCCGAAAGCCATCTATAGTTAGATACAATTAAAGCATGACGATAAAATTTTTCAAAGAACCAAAAAAAACAAAAAAAAAAAAAAAAAAAAAAAAAAAAAAAAAAAAAAAAAAAAAAAACTAACCAGTGAACCTGCCAAGCTCTTTAGTGAATTTCAAGGTCTGCAGAGCCAAATCTCTTGTAGGCGACAAAATAAGAGCCCTAACGCCACCTTGAGATACATGTTGCTTCAGTTTTTCGAGCATCGGAATCAAAAACGCAGCGGTCTTGCCGGAACCAGTACGAGCCATGGCGACCACGTCTGAACCAGAGAGGATAATAGGCATGGTCTTGCGTTGGATAGGAGTAGGAACACGATAGCCCTTCCGCTTGATTCCTTTGTAAACATTGGGACTGAGGTTTAGAGACTCGAAACCACCTGATTTCGCTTTCTTTTGGAGTTTTTGTTTGCGCTTCAGCTCCGCTTTGGAGCTAACCAGAGGCTCTTTTCCCATTTTGGAACTGCCTGTGGAGGCAAACGCAATCCTCTGTAAATGCGTGATTCTGCAAGGAAGGAGTAGAGACGAGAGGGGTTTTTGCCAAAGATGAAAGGAAATAACCAGACAGAAGTAGGGTTTCTCTGACTGCTGCTATATCCGGAAACGACGCCGTTTAAATTAAAAACCCAGTCGAAATAAATAAATAATATTTTATTTTACAAAGGATCAAGCATTTGGTGGGTAACTGCTAACAAGTTTGAATTTTTTTAATGAATGAAAAAAAAAATGAATTTAAACTTTTTTTTGTAGGATTTGGTCAATGGTTTTATTATACTTCAAAGTTTATTGCATGTGATTGGAAATGGTTGCGATGATTTTTTCTTTCCACATATGGTTTAAGTTTAATTTATGGATATTATACTTAGCTATTTTTCTTAAAATTTGTTGGAGTCAATATCTTAATCAACATCTCAATCAGCATAATTGCTATTAATTAAGTTTTTATGTTACAAAAAAAAATTTATTGGAGCGTTCAATGTAAAATATATATATAATTACTATAATATATATATATAGTAATTAATATTTATATATATAATATAAGGAGCAAATACTTCACCCATTTCATAAAGATATATTCACTTTTTTCATTTGTCCTAAATTATAACCCACTTTACATGTTAAAAGTATAAATAATTATTTTAATTATCTGATATAGCTTTTTAATATGTTTTGTTATTAATATTTTCATTTCACTCCTTTTATTGAGAATGATATCTAATATTAGTCTAACCTTACAGTGAGAAAAAATGTAAAAAGTAATTGGTGAAAAATACTAATTATATTTTATGGGATGGATGGAGTAGTTAAAATAAATAAAATGTAAGGACTATAGAATATTTTTTTATTTATAAAAAATTATTAACTTGAAGTGCATAATAGATCAAATTAAATGTGATAAAATCAGTAAAGTAGTAGAGTGAGCATTTGGTTACTGGTTAACATTAAATTGACTAGCAGTACACTGAAGGAATTAAAATATTTTAAAATGAAAACCAAAACGAGACAAGAAGTGTATAAAAATTGATTGAATGTATAAAATCTTTGGCAACTTTCTTACTTTAACAGATTGTTACTTTTAACTTTGCAAAAAACCTATTATACACTTTAACTTGCATTTTTGTAATAATTATGTCCCTTGCCATGTTGGAAAGGCACAACGTAATTTCAAACCCTACCTAGAGCGTGATAGTTTGATAGTTGTCTGATGTGGCTTAAACAACGTCATATATAGACTCTTTGGCCTCTCTCCTCAATTCGGGTTTCCATTTCTCTATGTTCTTCATCCTTCTTCCTTCTCTTTTTCATAGATGTTAGTCGTCTTTATACAAAAATGGCACACGCATATAGTAAAAAAGAGGGAGCAAAATCAAAATCATCATCTTATAGATTCTTTGTTCCATATAATATAAGTTTGTTTCTTTCCCTTTTCAACTTAAATTTCATAAATCCTTTATTTTCTTTAAATCTCTCCGATCTCATAACTTCTATTCTTTTGTCTCTTAAGTCTCTCTTAATTACATTAAATTCCTATCAAGATTTCTTTTTTTGAACAAACCGTCTTCTTTAATTCTACATCCGATTTGTATCATGAAATTTTGAAATAGTCAGATTAAATCCAACTATATCCAAAAGCATAATTTTTTTTTTTGCAGGTGCTTCTTTTTATTTTTTTTTTGATTTCAGCTGCTTTACTTTGTTATTGGTCTCCATTAACGACGAATCATGTTGTTTTTGAAAAATTAGTGCTTCCATTGTTCCTTCTTCAATTAAATTGTAGTGGTTTGAATTTTCTTTTTTAAGATAAAAAATGGTTATAAATTATGAAAGTTGTTTGTGTGAATATAAAAAAGGTTAGAGAAATAGATTTGCGGCTTTAATCAAATAGAAGAGGGAACAAAGAATTAAATGTTTACGTGTACAACAATACAACAAATTAAACCTAGGACATCTATTTTTTTTTTTTTTTTAAAAAAAGACATTTGATTTTATGCATTGGCATTTTGTAGTTTATCTTAGTAAGATAATAACAATAACATGTCTCTTCAAAAAAAAAAACAATAACATGGTAATAAAATAATAATAATAAAATAATGAGCGATGACCTTTCGGTGTCAGCCTCCGGGTGACTCAGAGTCTTGAGAGCTTTTATAACAGCGAATAACGATAACAATGCATGGAATAATCTTCTTCTCGTTGTAGCTTTTATAACTCCGCCCTCCAAACTTCCCCATATTTAAATACGCATTTAAGAGGGAACATACCCGTTATTACCGGGCAACAGCAAGGGCATTACCGTCATCAAATATAACGGTTTTCTTTTTTTTTTTTTTTTTTTTTTTTTTTTTTTTATAACGGTTTTCTTTTTTTTTTTTTTTCTTTTTTTTTTTTTCTTCTCTCTTCTTTTTCTTCCCCTGCCCACAACCCTTCATAATTTTACCACTTCTTCCACGTTCAACCCCTTCTCAACGGTCCAAACTTGGACCCCTCTTCTCCTTAGCAATTGGTCGCTATTGTTTACTTGTCAAGCTCTTTCTCACTATCAAAAAACCCTAAAAAACTCCGGAACCATTGATCAATTGTGTTGGGGAAGCGAAGACAAGTAAAAGAGAGAGACAATTGGAAACGGAAGCGATATGGTTATGATCGATGCAGCACTTGATTTCTTGCTCCCTTCTTGGTGGGAGATCAAGGGTCACGGTTGCTGCTGCGATATTTATGATCGGCTTTCGTTTCGGTCCTTTGCTTGGAGTGAGTCGCCGGAGATAATGATCGATCGCGATTTTGGACCAATTCGGTTATTCTGGGATGGATTGATGATAGATACAAGGTCAATTTGTTTCTATTCGTTTCTTAATTTCAATTTTTAATTTACTTTTTGAATGTGATGGATTTTGCTCGCGATATGCATGTTTTCTGGTTGCGAGAGAGGGAACCGTCAGGTTCTTGTCAAGTTTGGACTTTTTATGATTTTCGTTAATTCTTTTTTTCTTTGAGTTTTTAGTACAATAATGCAGGAAGGTGAGGCGTGAAAGGGAGTTCTTTGGTTTTCCCATTTTGGACTTATTTTCTTACTTAAAGTTACGTTACTTCACTGATTAGATAGCTTTTTTATATATAGAAACGTGATCTCATAAATAATTGTTTTTCTCCATTTAAGATTTTTTGGACTTTTCTTTAATTACTTTTGGCGGTTTGCTTCATGCGGGTGAATAGTAATGATAAAATATTGAACATATAATAAATAAACCTCTGTTATCTGTTCTTGGAGAATGAATTCGGTTTTGAGTAATTTATCATCAATTGAGTGTTTATTGCAGCGAAACCAAGACAACAATTCATTTAAGAGAGCTTAATTTAATTGAAGTCCAGGTTTACAGTGGGAAAAATAGTGATTGAACTTGGATAACTCACTTCTTTTTCCTTTGGGGGAAAAAACTGTCCATATAGAAAGCATATATATATATATATATTGTCTTATAACTATAATATTTTATTTTTGCTTGCTTTTTGTAATTATTTTCATTAATTTGTATTCGAAATTGGCTGTTTTCATTGTTGAGGAAAATTCTTATGAAGAGATGCAACCAAAAAATCTGAGATTTTTATTTTCATTACTTTGGGACTAAAGTTTTTTCCTCCAATGTTGCGTAAATATGCCATGACAAGGTGCACTGGTCTTGCAAGGCAAACATTGAGTATTTGACATCTTGCTGCATGGGCAAACTTAGTTGGTACTCTAGCAGAATTCAATGCTCAAAATTAAAATTTTTAACAATGACATATTATTAATTATATTATATATTATATTATTATTATTATGTCATCATGTTTTGCCCAAAGAACCATTAGTACTTGCTATTTCTTTATGCCGAGATAATCGGATTTAGTAGTGTTGCTATACACAGTCTTCTGCTGCTGGTATTCATGGAAGAGTAATTTTCCAACTTCTTTGAATGCAGTTCTGCACTTATTTGTAGATGGGCCATTGAAAGGAGCATCCTCAGGCCAATTTGCATACATAATAAGGTATCTTTAATCTAATTTACACGTTTGATTTTTGGCATATCTTTAATTATTGTGTGGAGGTTGTTATTTATTATTATAGTTTATGTTAATTTTATAACATGTCTCCTTGGCCATTATTTTTGTGCTTCAGTGGAATTGTTGCGCAGCTTAAGGAATTTGATTGGTGCAAATTTAAACATGGAACCTTCAGATCCTTATGCTATCAACTTTACTTGTGGTTCAGAAAAAGCGTTCAGGTATTCAATTCGTTATCCCATTTTTGCTTTAATGATTTTGATGTAGTCAACAAAAAATTTAAAAAAAAGCATTGTTGGAAGACTGAGTTTGATTATATAATTATTATAAAAAATTATTCCTATTAAACAGTCCATTCAATTAGTTCCAAAAATCTTTGTTAAAATGCCCATGTTGTTTTAATAATTTTTCTTCGTTATTGTTTGATTACTCAGAAATGAATTAATCATGATTTTGGTTTTTTCAATTCTTATTTTTTTGAAGTGTGTTTTCTCTCCTTCTTTCTTCTAAAATTTCTCTCTACATGTGTTTTGGTTATTTGTACTTTAATTCTGTGTTTCTCTTAAATTCTAATGAGTAATGAGAGTACTCATGATCAATCTTACTAATCCAATCTTCCATTTACATTATAATAACCTCAATTTAGCTTCTACCAACGAGATCAAGCTATTTATCCGACTTGTTAGCAAGGAAACTGAGTTAGGAAAGGACCATAAGGCAGCTTGATATTCGACATTATTAATTACTTTAAGTTACACTGAATGTTTGCCAATACTCCTATCTGTCACTAAGACACCTTTTTTCTTTTTTTTGTAACAATTATAGTGACAACATTTCATCGAAATTCTAACATGTCATAGTAGTACTTTGCATGAATAGTTTATTCTTCCTTGAATTTATTTTACTTTTTTATGATGCAGCTCAATGGTTCCCGTTCAAGAAAATCCCATGTGGGGAGAAGTTCAATTTTTCTGTAGATGAGCTTCCTGTCAAGGTAATTATCGTAATAATTCTCTCCATTGAATCA